TAAATTCAAGTTTAAACTTAACCATAAGCCAAGATTAAACCAGACTAAAACCAGTCTAAATTCAAGTTTAAACCAGACCAAAAGCCATGTTTAAAACAGATTGAAAGCCAAGTTTAAATGGACCAAAAGCCAATTTCAAACCAGACCAAAAGCCAAGTTTAAACCAGACTAAAAACCAGTCTGAAGCCATTTTTAAACCAGATCAAAAGCCAAGTTTAAACCAGACTAAAAGCCAAGTTTAAACCGGACTAAAACCAGATCAAAAGCCCAGTTTAAACCAGACTAGAAGCCAAGTCTAAATTCAAGTTTAAACCAGACCAAAAGCCAAGTTTAAACCAGATCGAAAGTCAAGTTTAAAGGAACCAAATCCAATTTCAAACCAGACTAAAAGCCAAGTTTAAATAGACCAAAAGCCAAGTTTAAACCAGACCAAAACCAGTCTAAATTCAAGTTTAAACCAGACCAAAACCAGTCTGAAGCCAAGTTTGAACCAGACCAAAATCAGTCTAAATTCAAGTTTAACCCAGCCCAAAGCCCGGTCTAACCAGACCAAACCTTCTTTCCCTCTCCGTTGTCGGCGGTGACGTAGGCCAGCTTCCTGCGGACGTAGAACAGCATGTCGTCCTGCCGGGGCGCCCACTTCTCCATGAAGTATGTGGAGAACATCCAGGTCCAGAAAACGATGCGGTCATCCTTAAAGCAGCCTGCCGAAACACAGCAGAGGCCCAAACCAGGCATGTTAAACACCCTTTTTATTATTCAGGGGCTTTAATTAAAATGGGGGAATGATATATTTGAATTACAATATCTGTGACAGAGAATTTGCAGCGTTTTTGTGTAAATTAATCATTCAAAGATGGTGATTTTATGGGTCTTTAACCAGCGACCAGATTTGAGCTGAATCAGACCAAAAACAAAGTTTAATCCAGATTAAAATCCAAGTTTAAACAAGACCGAACACCAAGTTTAAACCAAACAAAAAGCCAAGTTTAAACCAGATCAAAAGCCAAGTTTAAGTCTGGTCTTTAACCAGCGACCAGTTTTGAATAAACATTTTCATTTTGGATTCAGACAAAAAAAAACAAACAGACACTCTTATATTAAAGTTCTCCTTCACAAATAGGTTATTTTTGCTGAATTAAATTAAAGTATTTGTTAACCTATGATGAGAAAACAGAGACTTGGAAATGTAAAGTAGAGTTGATTTGCTTTTGTGAAGTAAATTACAGAAATGAAGCTAATAGAGCTAATAAATGACCAGTTTAGGAGGAATAAATGGATCAATATGTAAAAGTAATACAGGAGATACATATAGGAATAAAGAAATCAGTTTAAATAAAAGTTTAAAAATGAGTAAATCAAGCTTATGTGGATCTGATTTAAAACTTGAGTGGAAATATGGTTTAATTTTTATTGAATCTTCACCGTTTAAAGTTAGCATTTTAGCTCCTTTATAGTTTTGTATTCTTGTCACATTTCCTTATTCTCCATTAAACCAAAAAGGAGCATCAAAAGACAGTTAGCTGATAAAAAACTGGATGATTTCATGTCAAACATGTGGCTTTAACATAAATACTTAAGACCTTTGGACTGTAGGAAAACCCCTGTTTGCGTTTTAGACTAATCCCCTTTGAAGTGTCCCAGTTAATACACTATTTTCTTCCTTTTTTTCTGAGGAAACGGAACAAAAAAGAGGCTTGAGAAGGAGAAAATTAGTTTCTAATCCTGTTTTTATTGATGTTAGCTCTGCTAACACCTGAACTCAGCTCGTTAAGGCTGTAAATCAAACAGGAAAACAGCAGTTTGAACACCACACACCAGCCCTCTGGGCTGCCAGCCAATCAGAGCAGGGCAGCTCTGGCCTTCGTCCAATCACAGTTGGCAGGAAAGGTGTCGTCCTCACACAGAGGTGAGCCAATCAGAGGCCTGCTGCCAAGATAGAAGTAAACAGCAGATCTGAGGTGCAGCCTGTAGGAGCCTCGGCTGGATGTCCAATTACTCTCACGTCCAAGTCGGCCATTTTGATTAGGTCATGTGACTAGCAGCTTTCTGAGGTGGAAACGAAAGTTTACTGTCTATACGAAATCGGAAGATAAACGATGTCCTAAACCTAAACCTGACCCAAATCCTAACCCTAAACCAGACTCTAACCCTAAACCTAACCCTATACCTAAACCTGACCCTAAACCTAACCCTAAACCTGACCCAAACCCTAAACCTAACCCT